GAAAAGCCCAGGACCAGATGGCCTTACAAGTGATTTCTAGCAAACATTTAAAGATGAATTTATACCAATCCTTCTTAAAATTATCTCCCCAAAATAGATTTTTAAAATATATATACTTTTATTGATTTCAGAGAGGAAGGGAAAGGGAGAAATAGAAACATCAATGATGAGAGAGAATCATTAATTGGCTACCTCTTGCAAACTCCCTACTGGGGATTGAGCCCATAACCCGTCATGTGCCCTTGACCAGAATCAAACCCGGGACCCTCCAGACGATAGGCCCAAGCTCTATCCACTGAGCGAAACCAGCTAGAACTCCCCAAAATAGATTTTCAATTTTCATTCTTAATACCTGTTGTTTGATTTTTGTTTTTGCCATAGGCTCAAGGCCCAAAACTCTGGCTTCCATCACTTCTTGCCACCAGGCTAAAATTAAATTAAATTGTGAACCTGGTCTTATGCCAAGATTGCGGCTGGCACAGTCTTCACCTCCTCTCACCATTACTCAATACCAAATATTGCCAGGGCAGAGATGCCTCAATCAAATATGGTGTTTGTCCCAGCCATAAAGAAAATAGGGGCCGTAGCCAGGCCCACGTGCATCTGCACCAGCTCTGTCTGCGTGTCCCGCCGCAGCATGGCTACCACCAAGCGCTTTCCCACGCTCGTGCAGCTGGAGCAGCGGGGCGGGGCGCCATTCCAGGTGCTGGGTGACCACGCCAAGCAGTCCTACTGGTTCCACACGGAGTACCTCAAGAGCCCGAAGACGGTTCACCTCTAGGCGTGGGTGGTGGAAGCGATCTTCGGCCCCGGCGGAGAGCACATTCCGCACGTCGAGTGTGTGTCGCAGACCCTGCTTCGCATTAACCAGTGGGACCCCGAAGGCGAGGCTGAGATCCTGATCTTTGGCCGGCCTTCTTACCAAAAGGATGTGTCCAAGATGATCATGAACTTGGCTCACTATCACCGCCAACTCCGGGCACAAGGCTCGCTGAAGAACGCTGCCGAGCAGGCCGAGCCACGGAATTTCTCCGCTGCAGTCCGGGTGGCTGCGCTCCAGGCCTCCCCCGACAAAGTCCGAGTGGCCAAGAGCCAGCGGTCCTCTGACGCTGTCCAAGAGAAGGCGACCCAGCGGTCCCCCGACCCTGTTCAAGAGAAGACGACCCAGCGGCCCCCCGACTCTGTCCAAGAGAAGGGGACCCAGCGGTCCCCCGACGCTGTCCGGGAGAAGGCGACCCAGTGGTCCCCCGACGCTGTCCGGGAGAAGGCGACCCAGCGGTCCCCCGATGCTGTTCAAGAGAAGGGGACCCAGCGGTCCCCCGTCTGGGAGGCGGCGACCCAGCTGTTCCCCAACACAGTCTAGGAGGCGGCGACCCAGAGCTCCCCCAACACTACCCAGAGTCCGTTCCCAGGTTATGAAGTTATTTCGGGACCCCAGATCTCGAGCCAGGCAAGGTTCAAGTGAAAACCCCTCTCTGGAGAAAAAAAAAAAAAAAGAAAAAGAAAATAGGGACAGGGTATACAGCAGAGAGCTACAATTTGCCATAGGCATAACTGACAGAATATGCATTACTCTAGGAAGGCATGGTGCGTTTTCAAAGTATAAGAGAAGGACAACCAATTTGACTTATTGAGGCTGTGTTTGCAGGGACAATGTGACTTCATGGTACTATGCTTAGGAAATAGGCACACCTGGAAGAGGGAGAAAGAAATTTGATTATGATCAGCTGTTGGGAGGGAATTCAGGTGGAGGTGGGGATCTAGAGGTTTGGGGGTGAGTCATAAGTAGTGAACACCCTCACCTGCCCCATCTATTCTCTATACTATTTCCATTCTCTTCACAGGATCAGTATATCCTATTTGGTTTATCTGGAAAAATTGGCAGGAGTAAGAGGGAGGGAGGCATGGAATATTGGCAAACTCTGTTCTCTGAGGACGAGTGTAGCAGGTATTCCTGTGGTGGCCAGAGGATGAGCTCCTAGAGGGCAGGAAATGGACCCACATCCAATCACTGCGTCTCTTCCTCACTGGAGGGACAATTTCAGGTCTGGGCACTTGGAAAGTGCTCAGTAAAGAATGGTGTTTATTCATTTTTTCTCTCAGTGTCTCCAGGTCTTCGTTTTTGCTTTAGCTTTTGTGTCTGTGCGATTTACAGTGTACCAGGCCCAGTGCTCAGGTGCCATCTCTAATACTGAGATGTATTATATGAATATAATTTGTTTCCTTAAATTACAGATAAAAAGACAGAGGCATTATAGCTTTAAATAACTTTCTTAAATCAGATCAGCTTTTAAGTAACAGAGTTAATATCCATGCCCATATCTATGTGATTTCAAAGGCTACCTGCTTAGGCATTGTGCTGTGTATGCCCATCTTATCATTAATGATTTATTTTCTCAAACTTATTTTTAGCAATTTTCTCTTTCTGTGTGTTCCTATATCTCTCCTATATGGTTCTCAGAGATTATTTTATATTTAGCTCTGGATCTTTCCTCTTTAGCTGTTGGAGCAAGATAGTATTTGTCTGTGGTTAGTAAAGAAATTATTCTAGAGGCAAAACTGTAACACTGTTCCTATGTCTCCTATTTTTAGTTTTTATTTCTCCATTTTTTAAATAATAATGTCCCCGGTTACCTGAGATATTCCAGTATTTTCTTAGCCAAGGCTATGACCAGGTATTCAAAGGGCCATCAGGTGTAAAATGAATATGAAAAATAAACCACATGGCTGCTGTCATGGCCCTGGCAGGCTGGCCTTCCACCCAAAATGGCCAATGGCAACACAACCAGTACAAAGAAAGGCCACACAGCAGCGTGAGTCATTGGATCTTGCTGGCACAGCTATCAAGGCTCCATGATCCCTGTTAGGCGCATTCAAGCAGGTAAGAAATGAGCATTTGCCATGCAGCCTCTCATCTTAAAAGCTACAATTTTTCTGCCTTAGTGCCTGACCCTTCCAGTGCCTCCTACTACAGACTGTAAAGGATTGGACTTTGTTAAGGTAGGTGTACTAATATTATCACGTTATAACTATTGTGGGCTCTTTTTCCATATATGAATTACATGCATACACATTACTGTGTGATATAAAGAGAAATGTATTAATATTACATAATAAATCATTTCCTTTAATCTCGACATTCATTTTATTCTATTGATTAAAAGTAGTTAAGTCATTTTGGGACTCCACCCCCACTAAAAATATTGTGCTTATTATACCTAATTAATAATTGGACCCCAGAGATCACCTCTCACACTCTTTGCCTTCTCTAGGGTAGAGAGTGAACATGCAGGTATCTGGATCTCTGAGTCTCTGAGGTGGTAAGGGATCAAGGGAAGTGATTCAAATGAATAAATATGTCCTTTCTATCAACTGAGAAATCTCTCAAACTATCTACCACATACTTTCAAATTCCCCAAGAAACTGATTTTTCCCCATAACTTTTAAACATCCCCCAAAATACCTTAAACTCCTGATAACTGGTTATAGT